TTGGTGGGCATGACCCCTTGAAGAGTCTCAAATTGGGACGAAACAGTGGCCAACTAAACTAATTGTGGTTCATTAGATTTTAAATGTGGCACATGTGCAGGGGTTCTTTGTAATCACTTCATCACTTACCATCTAATTACTTGCTATTTCCTTCTGCTAACCTTAAACACCGGTTATCTTACTATCCTCTACTGATCTACCACAACGTCAAGTCAAATACAATATCTGCCATATCTCGAATTCATTTACTACCTAAAACAAACCTAATCATACCGTAACAGTATTCTGCTGAATAATTCTTCTAGATTGTCTAGAGTGAATTTATACTGCAATTTTGCATCTTAATCATGATATCTACTCTTGTGTGTATTGAGTAATCAAGTCATGAAATATCGCATTTTCTCCGTGAAAATCTGTGGATGCTCAACTGGTGTTGATTACATTTCTGAACTATGTCACGATATTTTTATTTGGCACTGATATTTTGAGTCAAAAAATTGTACTCAACGTTTCAGTTTTGCATACGTGGAAGATTTCGAGTACTCAGACAAAATGAATTTAAATTCAATTTACTTTATAATGTTTGTCATTCTTGATTTACAAAAATGTTGTTTAAAGTTATCTAATTTTGTGAAATTATGAAGATAATATGACGATTGATGTTCAGAGGTGTATTGTCAAATAATTGTTTGTGTACAAAGTACATTTCGCGTTGCAAAATAATCACATCTATATATATTGCAAATTTCTTTCAAAAGAATGTTTACTGAACAAAGAATATTCTTTTCGATAACTTTATCATCAGGTTCTACGGTTATATACACATAAATAATATTGAATGAATTCGTGTTGTTAACAATATTAATTCTTACATAACGCTGAATCAATAATAATATCAATGGATCACAGTTCAATAGCATCAACATAACAATACACACTGAATATCAGACGAATTGGAAGAAATAATAAGACAGAATTCATGAATTTATAGTCTCCAGTGAAAGCCGTGGCAGTAGAAGTGGCTGGCTGCACTTCTTTCTTCTTCTGCATACAGGGCACCAGTTGTTTCAGGCGGATTGCGATAGCCTCTGTTGTTTTGTGCATGTGGTACCTTTATTTTTTTCGCAATTTATTTGCAAAAACACAACAGATAATGGAGAGGGATTCTTCAATGTTGACTTTGTGGCCGGCTTGAACCAAGTTGTGAGATATTGAACTGTTGATGGTTTAAACACCACCTTTATTCAGCCACTCTGGTAGGTGTTTTCGATCATTAAAAATCAAGTTCGTAGAGCAACGGCCGATAAAACTCGCTTCACAAGCGCAGTTGAAGTGATAGATGCAAGAAGAGATAGCTAGTCTAGGTACTTCATCTTTCAGTCAAAGACTCACCATTGTTCGTGTAGAAAACATGACTTCTAGCTCAGCAGTAGGTAAAGTTTGACAAGTGTTATGAGACTTTAGCAATTTCACATAACACAACTAAACTGAGTTCCATTAGTACACTGAAAATTGTATTTGCCGTATCCTGAAAGTAGCAAAGGAAAGGGATTCGGCATACGGATTGACAAAACATCAGGAAATTGTATACATGACAGATTAAGTTCAGCCGCAATACATGGTGAATTCCCAAAGTTGTGACCTGGTCTGCAACTGTACTGTATTTATTCTCTGGTAATAATGTTAGCTGACGTGTTTATAGCAGTTAGACCAATAAAACACTGCGAAAACATGTACTTTATACAAACGAGAACCACTAAGATTGATCAGAATAAAATGACATTGAAACAAAATGATACTTATTCGAAAATAAAATATAACAAGCATAAGAGCACCGACAAGCATCAATCCAGATTTCATGTAATTCACAATATAGAACCATTTCTCACTCAAGCGTTTCACTAGGTAACCCAGTGTGACCACTATTGCAGCCAGAAAGATAGTCAGCAACCATGATAACAGAACCCACAATTTTGCATCCGATGTTACCACAGCGAGACCAAGTGATGTTGCTATTACCTGGAATATGCAAAAATTATGTTGTGAATCGTGGTATATTACTTAAATCACAGTCAACATATTTTGAAAATCGTCTTTGAAGAACTCTGAAAATATGTGGGATTTCTGAAGACTGCTTACATCACACATAAGGATTATTAGAAAGTGTGCAGTCAGAGTTCACACAGTGGTTCGGTTGACAGTCTTCTGGGACTCATACCATGAATGTCGGATGAGTCCGAATTCAGTGGGATGAAGAAAACAATAAGTTTTGAGATTAAGTGGTGAAAGTAACAACTCGTTCAGACAGGTAATGTGGTTTCAGCTAAAATGACATTGGCAGTTGAGTGATTTTCTCAAGTAATTAGAACACAATGGAATGCGCTGAAGTCATTTGAGAAGGGTTAATATCTAACGAAGCTACGAAATTCTCAGACCTTTCCAAGAATCAGAATCAATAAAGTTTGCCTGTTGCTGAAATATGTGTAGGCTTATCAACTGCAACCAAGAATCTCTTCTGGGTCACATAGTGTCATATTTGTCACATTAGCGGGCACAGTCGGGACGTTGAATTGCGCACATTAGTGGTTACATGGAGAAAGATTATGAGACATTTATGATCTAATGAGTAATGAAGTGGAACGCTTTCAAATGAAACAAAATGAACGGAGAGTTAATCAGATGACTGAACTGCAACGAGGAGGGTGCAATATGCTTCTCAATTGAACCAACTAGCTCATGAATAATTGATAATATATTATCATGTGAAGAAATATTGTCTCATCCAAACTATGCTCCAATGATACCCTACAATATTCCTCCTCGATTTTTTTCAAAACATTCTCAACGATAGATAGAAACCTACTTGAAATAATGCGCGATTATAAATTGCGACGTATTATGGACAGGAAATTTAAATATCTCAGTAATTCAGGGAGGCCGCCATGTTGCCATATGAATAATTTAGGTTTTTTAAGGAAAATACATTGAAGTAACCATCTTGAACTATGAAAATTACAAATTGATTTGCAAACTATGAACTCATTTACAATTGTTAAGTCGGAGTATAAATTACTTGTGTTTTTATTCAGAACTGATGGATCGTCAATACATCTTTTCTCAGCTATCGTGACTACTGAATTGAACTTCGTCGTTATTTTTTAAGTGCTGTAAAACATTAAACGGAGTATTTTTCGCACAAATGATAAATAGATAAATTGACCCTTGTAATATGCATTATGAGTTGTCACATTCCGAAATTGATAAAAAGTTAAATATTTATGCTCTCATAAATATATGAGTGTGTATATTTATACATCAATAAGAAGTGCATTACAAATAAGGATCGAGGAGATTCTTTCACAACTCGTAAGTTCTTATCAGAATATCCGGATTTTAAGAAACATTTTTAAAACACCACAACTGTTTATTATGAATCTTAACTTGATTGCTGATAAAGTTTTCTAAGTGCTAATCACACATGAGTTAATAATTTGAATGGCATGTATGAACCAACCAACAACCTGTCGCTCAACAGATATGGTGGAAGAAATAAACGTGGTATGAACAGATACCTGTAGGACGCAGCTGTGTGACACCACGTCTCAGTCTGTCAAGCGAAACCTGAGTGGGGAATGAAGAGTTGGACATGGGTTCACGGGTGACATGGATAAGATCTTATAACCTGAAAATCAAAGCTTATGGACAATCGTGAAGTCAGATCAGTAGAAACTGTAGGGAACAGACTGAAATGGTTATGTGCTGCTGATCCCAAATGTTTCACTTAGAACTCATGGGAATAAAACAATAGAAATAGTACCTCTTAGGCGGAATTCAATAAAATCGATATTCAATTGTTGGTTTGCGGGGATTCGACTGATCGGTTACAGGATTTTATCATGAGTTGACATCGGTTAGATAAACACTGCAAAACCCAACAAGCAGTACAGGACAGCCAGCAGATTTGTTAGCCTAGTTTGGCACTCTTCACCACTACGCACCCATCACCAGCTCTTTGAACCCACAACTTTGTGATTATCAGGCGAGGTCGTAAACCATTGGGCCACTGGGACGTCGCGTTTTATCATGAATTGGCAGAAGTGGGAATCGATGGGCTGACCGTTGGATTAGGTTCCAGTGGCTTAATGGTCTACGAGCTTGCTCTCCTTGTAACCAGAAGGTCATGGGTTCCAATTCCTGGTGATGTGTGCGCACTACGGAAGATTGCCACACTAGGCTGAAGAAGCAGCTGGCTATCCAGTCTTAACTGATGGGACTTTCAATGGTTCCCTAACTGATGTCAGCTCATAATGAAATCCTGAAATGGACATACTTGTTCACAGATATCTACATTAGTGATCAAAGTACAGAATTCAACAACTAAGTGCAAACATATTTATACACCGAAAATACCCATTGAGTCATGAAGAAAATAAAAGACTGTTTCAGCGAAGAAAAGTTTCTTCGCTGAATCCGTCTTTTATTTTCTACATATTTATTCCTCGAATTCGAATTATTTGTACGAATTCATCTAAAGATCTGTGGGCTAACCACAGACTGACAGAACCTAAGTAGACTGATAATGCTGAATTCTCCTACCTTTAAGTGATATTTTTACAACAGTGGAGATAATTCATGAAATACTGATCTTTATCAAACGGTACAGGATTTTCTAATTTCTTTTATGGAGTACTTGTTCATTATTGTCGGTATTACTGGTACGTTTGAGTACAGCCTAGTTATTTTTCCTGGAAGTCATAAAACCCTAATTCTGTACAATCTTCAGTTAATTTTCTTGTGAAATTCGTTTCTTAATGACACGAAATAAAGAGGATGGAGGTTATTAGTCGACAATGACTGAACTCTGGATTATCAATGCAGGATCAAATAGTTTTCGAAATCCCGTGGTTTAAATTTTGTTTAAAAAAGTCCCACGTTCAAATCATTCTCCTCATTTCCAAACCGCTTTTTAGGCAAATATTTCACCAGATAAAACATTTTCAATGGAGACAACTAAATTGATTGGTATTGTTCAGTCAGCTCCATCCAATCGTACTGGTCCAATCTATGTAATAGTACATCCTGCGTCAGTAAAACATGCAATAATTGCATTCGTATTGATGTAAGTCTGATGCTGATTTTGCGATCAGTATGTCGTTTATATTAAACTTTTTCTAATGACACAGATGAATAAAGTTTGCTAACTAACAGAAGAGAGTAACTTCATGTTTGGAAAGAATAGGCTTTCCTCGTAGAAATAACCTGGAATATCTCAGTACTTTCAGTTTTCAGATTTGTTTAACAAGGTGACACCAATCACAGACAGAGAATCACCGGATAGTAAATTAACCTCAATAATAAAACCTACAGGAATTCAAAATGATTCAGATAATTGTTTAAATTTATCCTGTAAAAATTCGCCGCAAATTTTCAATTCAATTCCTCGATGGTGGATGAAATTATAAAAAGACACTTCTTGGGGACATCCTTTACTCATAAACAGGAGGCGGTATGAAATGTTGACCTCACTCTCACATTTAGATTCATTGCTACAACAAATCTACCAATAAAACGGCCTGTGACAACTACTAAAGAAGATATAGTTGGTCAGTGACTTACAACGTGCTACAACTCCCAGACCATAAAACTACAATTCACTAAATTAAATCACAAAACAAATGAATCTGGTTTCACCTAGAGCAGAATGCTTAGTCATAGTTTTCTAAACCTGTGTCGCATTCAAACGCAGAGTAGTGTTAGAAACATAAAACAAGTCACATCCAACAACTGACTCAAAATTATCAAAATGATTCAGAAAAGAGAAAGGGAAAATACATGTAGATACATTCTGAAGGAACATCAATTTCAAGTGAATCTCTGCACCTTAGGTGATGCAGGTACTTGCATTTTGCTCAGGCTGTAACAGCAAAAGACAAGGGCCAGGCAACGGATCGTTTATTTAGGAAATCAACGGATATTCATAGATTTTCATGTACATTATTACAGATTTTTGTTAGCAAACAAAGGCAATCTTCTGATTGGTGGTTTATCGCTGAACGTTAACCTTTCATCTCTTTGTGGCCGTTTATTGAAAATCAGATTATCTATCCTCAAGTTGTATCCCCCTACGCAAAGTCTGCTGTGATTGATTTTTGAGTCAGTCTTTGTTCTTCTTTTTCTCATGACCAATATTGGGGACATAAACATTGACGTAAATTACTGTCTACCAATTTCGGCCAGTAGCCAGCTCTCACAACAAGGCGACCCGATTTCAGTAATTCCGATGCTGGAAAGAAAGAATGCAAGGCTCGACTCTTGGCTGACATTCTAACCAAACCTCGCTGAGGAGTTAACCGGCCGAAAGTAAGTCGGGAAAAGACAGGATATTGGTTGTGAAGCTAGTAGCCCCACCACGTAGAAACTATTTCAATGCTACTGAAACCTCCAAGTCTGGGCTATATTTTTCCACTTCGAATGGATGAAACGGGGAAAATATTTCGCCTATATTATACGATTTAGAGAATTATGGTATTAATCACGTAATTCAAGAAAACACAGAAGACAGTGAGCTTATAACTTTGACAACTTAACATATAATTGAAGTGTATTCAACAACTGTAGAGAGAGAGATGATGTTGACCGCATTCTAAGAAAATCACCAGTGTCAACATGTTAAGCGCTTCCTAAGTAAACCACGGAATATATTTCGGCTGAATTAATGCACAGTTAATGCTTTTCAATGTGAACTGACACTTCTTCTTTAGTTAGAAGAGTGTATTCTATGCTCACATTTTAAACGGATTCCTGCATGCTTTATAAATACCAATAAAATTATTATTCCATCCATTGGGTGCTTGGAAACCTTTTCTGTAAAACTCACACTATGTGTGTTCAACGATATCGTGTAGACTAGCTGGAAATACTTCACATATCAGCTTTCACAGTTGTTTGTTTTTTCAAACTCAGATGTAATGCATCTCTCCACTTTACAAACATATTTTGTTTCTTGGTGAATTACATTCAAGTATCTAAGACAGTTTACGTCATTCTAGAAGTTACATAATGTGACACTGACTCTGACCAAACCTTCTGAGGTCACTACTGTAACCTCAAACTACTCTAGTTAACTTTGTGAACTCTACTAAGATGCATACGTTACTTGAGACAATAGTGAGTCTGTGGCACAGTGGTAGAATGCTCGCCAACCACGCCTCATGTGGTTTGGGGTCCGAAACCTGGCCACTGACGCTAAACTAGTAATGAGAGTGATAGAGAGGGAAGGCCGGGCATGAGGCTAGCAACCTCATCGAGTAAAAGTAATGAACACCACTGCTACCGAAACTTGAAGCCCCCTATGTGTTCACTGGGAAGGTAAAGGAATAAAAATAAAAAAACTCGAGATAATAAATAAACGATGCATTCTATTTACGGCCACAAAGTGAATGCAATATAAACACTACTGTACACTTTGCAATGTCTTGCTAACTAGATTCAAATTATTTTTACAAATCCCGTGTTTATGGCCAGCCTCGAAAACATCTTTTTATCATCGACCATCACTGATCTCCATCTTTACAAGAGATACACTGATGACACTTTCATCATTTTTGATGAGAACCTGGGCCTTGAAAACTTACTTCAAACCTTCATTTACTCTTGAAGCTGTATCCTACGGAATGTTTCACTTCCTCGACATCCATCTGAGAAAAGCACCAACAACTCTCTGAAAAGGTCCACATACAAAAATCGTACATGGAATGGACAATTCATCAACTTTCAAAGTTTCGTTCTCCTAAGCAGAAAGAGGAATCTGATATACGCTCTTTCCTCGAGGATTCGGAAGATATGCAGCGAGGAAGTGATTGATGAAGAGCTGCGTAGTAACTGAGGAACTTTGATGGAAAACGGTTTTTCGCATAGGTTCACAGACAAGAATCTCAAATCAAAGAAGACTCCCAAACAGCTCCATTCCATTCGAAAGAAGATACTTCTGCTTAATCTACGATTCAAAGATAACACTGAAACAGAAATCCTTCCTGCAAGAAAGTGTTCAGCCAGAACGCAGAAAACAAACTGTCGCATTGGGCCATTTCAACGTGCACTTACCTGTTTACTTGCTCGTGCGGAACTGAGTATATTGGCCGTTCCATGCGCCAACTTGAAAAATGGCGCTCGTGAACACTATCCAGCCTGGCTAATAAAAGCAGAACGAAAACATGTATATAGCACAGTGACAGAACATCTGGTCAATTCAGCGCCGTTCGAGAAATCCTTCAAGCTCGTATACAGGATTCGATCAAACCTATCTAAGGGAGTAAAATTAAGACATCCGGGCATAGCCATCCAAAAGCTCAAACTCGAGCTATGTATTAAAAAGAAATATGTCCAATTCTCGTCCCTGCCATGGTCATCATAAACACGTAATTTTTTTAACAGTGACTATCCCATTACCTTTCACACCCGAACTTCCTGTCTAATTTATCATTTTATAATTTCTACATATTTAGTCCCAAAGTGCACAAACAGTTATTCGTCACATTAGTTATGATTCCACTCGATTTTTTCTCCAGACATCCTCTCTATTTTGTTTTTCTACATTTCTAACCCTTAATTACACAATATGTAAATCTTCTCAATAATTATGATGCTAATTTGTTTGAGTTTTATCCATCCCGCCTTGTTTATTATGGCGTTTTTATTCCTAATGGTAATTTTATTAAATATCGAAGACTGAAATGAATAATGCGTGTTTTATTTTCTCTCTTCCCACATATTTTAGAACTATTAGTGTCACACTAACTTTGATCATGGTGTGCAACAAAAAAATGTGGAAATACAAGAAAACTATGATTACTTTAATCACTCTAGCAGTAGGTCATTTTTATATCTTTCAAAGACGTATTTGTACATGAAAGGTTCACTGTATTTATGTTGACCAGTTTAATAATTCCTGCATAAAGTATAAGTGTGTCTCATATCAGTTATCTCAGGCATTCATTCCAATCATCAGGGCATAGGGCTTCAACAGCACATTATCATTTCATTCTGTTCTCTTAAGACTTTTCAGCTGCTTCCACGATTAGCCATAGGTGCTCATTTCCACCTCACATGATTTCCTATTATGCTAACCCTGTGCACTCAACTACTCGCCTTTCAATTCGGGTTCAACTTGGGGGGTGTCTGCTGTGCGATTTCATTCAAGGGTGGTCATTTCCATTCTTTTCTGTATACTTTTTAGGCAACAAGTTCTTGTTTGGTTGGTCTATGTTCCTCCTTATCGTTGATCCGTTATTATTGTGTGTTCTTTAATATGGATCCAGCGAAGGAAGCAATTGATTGCAAGTCTGAAGAAGCCTGTGGACGATACTTTTTGTGATGCGCCAGTTCTATATACCATAAATAGTTGAAATTATTATTCAGACATGCGTCTTCAAAGTATTTAGTATTTATTGTAGCATTTTATATCAGCAGTCTGTAAAACTTGGGATTCATTCAGACTGAAACATTTGTGTACTTGTTCATAAATGCCTATTTTTATCTTTGAAGCATTTATTAAGAGACTGACTGAGTGCAGACAAATCGTATTTCAATCACAGAATACGAAAACAAGCACCAAAATTGAGTGAAAGAGGAAAACAGATGCATAGAACTTCAGAATAACTCGTCATCTGACTGACTTGGTGAACCCTTCTGTCCACGACGTCTCACTAGAACCTCAGTTCACGAAATGACATCAAAATTTATTCAGGAGTTCTAGTGAGAAGGCGTGATCGGAAGACTTCGGCAAGGCAGTGAAGAGAACAGTTACTCGCCAGCGACATTAGTTGGTGGTTGCGCTGAGATCATGAACCTATGGAGGGTGAAGTTGATAAGCCACTTGATTTCGTCTGAATAGCTGAGTCGTCAGTCAGCTTGCCTTGTAAACGGAAGATCCTGCGTGAGTGAGTATTGCTGAACATTCCTAACAGCTATCCAGTACTCCCTATTTTTCCAGTGGTACTCTGAGTGGTATCAGGCCTCTGCCAACTAACATTTGAAAAACGTTTTATTAGTATTATTATTATAGTAGGTGGTGACATGAAAGATATTACCATTGTACAGTAAAACACTGGCCACTATTTCATTTTGTAGACAGAGTCCTGGTTTCCGCTTGCTTGTCGATTAAAAATGGTGTATGACTTGACAGCTTGTATCTCACACTGCGAAATGCGGAACATCCTCTCTTATGGAATTCTTGTGTAAAGTCGCTTCGGGTGGTTTAAGACAATAAGGTATTTCTCCGATCACACTGGTTTCAAAATGAAAAAACTTCTATTTTTAATATGCAGGTGTCAATTACCATGCACGCCTCAGTTAAGATTATGAGATATTTTGCAGCCATCTAAATTGATCATCGAAAAAAAACTATTTAATAACCTTCGTCTAGAACATAACTGCATGAATCTATATACTACTGGCGGATTGATATGAGTAGTTGTATGGCGCTCACTTAAATTTGTTGTCCTAACTGGGTAGGCATATTGAAGTGATCTAAACATTGGACGCCTGTTTTGCCGGGTTCACTTGGAACTATGACTCAGTTTAATTTCTGGTATACTACTACTGATATCTATCACTCAGTAGTATATAGTTTCGTGCAATAATGCCTGCTTTCTTGATCACTTTTTATGCTATCAAGTAGACCAAACATTGTAACAAGAATAACCTTGGTTTCTTAACGGAACTGTGATGAAATTACATTATGAATCGTGTAAGCTGCGATTAATCCGTGAATAGAGAATTTGAACTCATGCTGAACAGTTTGACAACTCGTCATCAGAAAGAACACTATCCTCCATCAAATGAACAAAGGATTATCAAATTTGTATTTGGTCTTAATAAATATTACACTCTATCCTCAGGAAAAAGACTGACGAAACGAAACGAATTTCCTCATTTTTGTATCGGTGTTTACTTTCAATCCATCAATTTCTATTATGTTATTCCCATTCCCTCGGATTGTGGATACAACACAGGGCTTCAAACCTGAAGTTCCGATAAGTGGTTTGTTATTTCTTCATAGCTTCACGCCCAACCCGCCCACTTTCTTGAGCATACTACCAGTTATCAAACTGAGCTACGTTTAGAAATGCTTCGGCTGGTAGTCGAACACAGACGAAAATAGTAGCTGCCAAGCTTTTTTACAACTGAACGATTCTTGTTAAACTTAGTCTCTTCGAAATAAGGTGTGTTGATTTTGGTGTGGTTGTGTTCTCTGAGCTGGATGGTTTGGTTGCGAAGCTTTCATTGCTCTACTGAGCAACATCTTCAGCGCATACTTCGATGTGAAGTGAGCTTTTAGAATTCTCTATGAGTTTATTAGTCATCTCTTCTAGTAACCCTCTATGTGTCTATTGATTGCTGATTCATTTGAATACCAGGCCTCTAGGAATTCTCTGGCATTTTTGCAGTTCCCTTTGTCTAAGATTTGAACATTGTCCCAGTCGAATTGGTGCCCGTGGTTGTCTGCATGTAGTGAAATGAGGGAGTGTATGTCGTGTCTTTTGACAGCTAGTTTGTGTTCGTGAATGCGAAGACGAAGAGGGCGTCCACTTTGACCAATGTAATGTTTGTCGCAGTCGTTGCAACTTATCTTGTAGATGACGTTAGTTTTGTCTTCTTTTGCCGTTGAGTCCTTTGGTTTACTGCAAGACTATTCAAACCTTTTGGAATCGATGTCGCTCATAAACCAACAAAGTCACTACACTCAGTTCTATGTACACCAAAGGAGTCAACGGCAAAAGAAGACAAAACTAACGTCATCTACAAGATAAGTTGCAACGACTGCGACAAACATTACATTGGTCAAAGTGGACGCCCTCTTCGTCTTCGCATTCACGAACACAAACTAGCTGTCAAAAGACACGACATACACTCCCTCATTTCACTACATGCAGACAACCACGGGCACCAATTCGACTGGGACAATGTTCAAATCTTAGACAAAGGGAACTGCAAAAATGCCAGAGAATTCCTAGAGGCCTGGTATTCAAATGAATCAGCAATCAATAGACACATAGAGGGTTACTAGAAGAGATGACTAATAAACTCATAGAGAATTCTAAAAGCTCACTTCACATCGAAGTATGCGCTGAAGATGTTGCTCAGTAGAGCAATGAAAGCTTCGCAACCAAACCATCCAGCTCAGAGAACACAACCACACCAAAATCATCCACCTGAGCTACAAATCTTCTCTATTATATCTAAGGTGTGTTGAACATCCTGTAAATTATAGTTTCTGAGCAATTCTATAATACCCTTTGTGTTTATGGATTATTTCGTGAAAATATGCGTATACAGTAGTCTCGTCACCATAAGGTGAAGGAGATTGACCACGCTTTTTTTAAACAGACGTTTCAATAATTTTACTTTATTTGAAAAGTCTAGAAAAATAATTATTCCACTCTCCTACATGAATAAAAAAACATACATTTCTGCGTTTGTTTTTGATTAGAGTCTACTATGGTGTTTCGCCATCTGTATAGCATTCGCTTATCCGCTTCCAGAAACCAAGTATATCGTGTTCGCTATCTGTATTGTATTGAATGCCTTAGCAGTTACGCTTGGAATAAATATCCACCGGCTTAAGAGGACAGTATTAATATCACTGTTTGGCATGTCATTGATGGTCGATTTGGTTGGAACCGTGATGATTTATCTTTCATTAGGCATCTATCCTATAGTAAGTGATGATGTATTTTATAATTTTAAAAAATTTTATTTCGAACATTACTCAATCAAGCCACCAAGAGGACAAAACAACTCTACTTCTCATGTTCTTGTTTTTTCTCTGAACTTGTTTAATGTTCTTCTGTCCAAATCTCCTGGATGTTTCATTGAATAGTGTCAAAGATCCACGACTGTTTATAAGTGAACTGAATAGGACTCACTGGACTAAACCTGCCAAAACTGAAGGCACCTACGGCCGAAACCGATGTATTGTGGTCCGTACTCTAGAGATTGTTCTTCGACTTCTGTTGTATAGCAACCAAAACTTTCTTAACTAACCCGATGACAACGAAATAACAGTTATTTGCGCTAAGCTCCATTGTGCTGTTCAACGGTAATAACATACCAAAAGCTCAAAATCATCCCAATAATGCCATTAGGCAATTATTCAAATAAGAGGATTCTTCAGTACACAACAACTAATGTAGAACAAAAATCAATTAACCGAAAATCAACACCAAGAACCATTTAATTATCAGGTGGATTATTTCTAACAAAGTGGGTTCGAAACTCTGTCATCAAGAATAAACACTTAGACTTTAATTCATGCCATCCAGAATCGGTAAAGATAGGTTCAGTTTAATGTCTGAATACATCTGTCCAGGGGCCTAACTGGTAAGTCAGAAGTTCTTTAAATAATGAAAACAAACAAATATAGAAAATATTACCAGTGAATAACAACCCACTGGAATTTATTCGGAGATTAGCAGTAAAATGACAAAAATAATATAGAATTCGAAGCCTCTGTAGAACTACCGTAGATAGAAACAATGTCAGAGACTTTTCGTAGGATTCTCAAAGAGTCCACTATCAAAACCAACCAACCAAACAACCAATTCACTCAGAGATAAACTTTGGTGGGTTAAGGGTCCAGCAGACCCAGGCAAGAGAAGCAATATAACTTGTCAAATACCATGTAATGACTGTGAGTGAGGTCGATTACATAGTCCAGTCAAACTAGTAGATCTGAGTCAACCAGATTATTGAAACATAAATATTAACCTTGACGTAGAATGATTGACTCTGCTAGGTGAAATAAACTGGAAGAATGCTCAGTCACGTAATCACAAAATAGGGTGTGGAATAGGGTGAGAGCATTACAAATTAATATAGTGGTTAGGTGGACATACAGCGCGGTCAATCACTGAAGTTTTGTTTGTCGTCTCAACGTCACACATGTGCAATCGAAATGGGGCAATGCCTATTCCGGAGATATGGAAGGTGGCAACAACCAGCAAATGGAAGTTGTAGAGACAGAAAGAGATAAAATGTGTATATGACAAATTTTTAAGTTCTGTAACCGAATTGATATGCTCGAAAAGTTATCCAGTTGGTAATAGTGCATCTCTGTGTAATACATTTAAAATAAACTGATCTAATATGGAACTGCATTCTACCACAATGCCCAAGTTCTACACTTTAATATAAAATAAATCATAAAATACTTCCTACAGAGAGTTCAATGTCAAAATCTACACAGACAGCCTTGACTTCATTCACAAACGTCGAACAAACTATAAATATCATCACACAACAAGAGGAGCATTAAAAGAAGAGAATAAACAGGAACAAAGACCAATAATAAGTAATAAGGCAACAGTTGATATACCAAAGTTATAATAGTGTTATCAAGGCCTTAGAGTAGGGATTTGATTGATTGGTTACAAAATTTCATCATGAGTTGACATCGGTCAGAGAAACATTGGAAAACCCACCAGGCATAACTGGACAGCCAGCAGTTATGTTAGCCTGCGGTCACAGTCTTCGTCAGTACGCACCTACCACCAAGGTTTCGAAACCAACGACCTTCTGGTTACAAGGCGATCTCGAAGACCGTTAAGTCACTGGGACCCAATCCAATGGCCGATCCGTGAATTCCAACTTTGCTGATGATAATCTCTAGTGGTCATGACATTTTTCGAATTGGCAGAAGTTGGCATTCCTGGAATATTGGATCGGGTCGCAGTGACTGAACGGTCTACGAACCAGCTCGCCTTGTAACCAAAAGTTCGTGGGTTCCAACACCCGATGGTGGATGCGTACTGCTGAATTGTCCAGAATTAGTTTGACAAAACAGCTGTCCAGTACTTCCTGGTGGAATTTCCAATGTCTCTCCTGCCAATGTCAACTCATGGTGAAATCCTGTAACCAATTACAAACTTAGTTGAGATATTCAATTCATTGTCAATATTGTGAATGGAACGTTCTGTGCGGGATTCTCTAAACAATTATTCCGTTACAAAGGCTCTATAGAAATATTATATTGCATATCTTTTATACATTTCTGAGTGCACAATGATCTACCAATGTAGTAAATGCTTCTGATAAACACTTTACTACAGTTATATAAACATTATTATTTAGTTGTGTGCAGTGAGGAGTAGAGAAAGGTTAAAATGATTCATTAACTGGCAATTTAAACTAATGCTTTCAAATCTTTTCACATATCTTTTATTTCTTATTCTTTTAGCGCAATTTTCAGGCCCTAGCTGAGATTTGCTGGTGTGCAGGTGCATGTATCGTAAGTTGAAGTTCACTTTGTTAGTTTTATGATGAGTTATGTCAGATGAAGTAGTACATTTCGTATTTCACCGAAAACCTCTGTCTCTCTTGATATGTCGGCAGCCATTAAGGACTCCTTGACAATGTGGTGGATGATAACTTGATGTGGAGTCCAGGATGAATGTTTCCTCGAATTCTAGACTTGACAGCTGGATGTACCTGTACTCTGAGTAATATTATTAGTCATCCGGGAATCGCAAAGTTAACTTTAACACATAATGAGTTACATCAGTCAGAAAAGAGCTCAAGCGAGCTCAAGCGAGCCTAGTCGATAACGCCCTTTGTCATCTGAAACGATGGGTGCTTGGTTTTAGTCCAAGTAAGAACGTTATAACTTAATAGAGGTTGCGAGTATATCCGGATGAAGAGTCCAAAATAGGACGATTTTACTGCTAGTCATCATCCACGAAAGAGTTTTCACTCACTGCTATATTAAGCAGTCAGAGTAACTATTGGAATCTTTCAATGAATCAGTTATGATCCGTAACATCTTAGTCACAAAGTCCCTGACAGAAGAATCGAGTGACAATAATAAATCTCAGGGGGGTTATCAGTTATTTCGTGGTGGTACATAGGTACCACCTAGTAATGAGTGCTAGCATTCAAGAAATCTGATGAATCAGCCTTCAAGCGACTCCTAATATCAATTCAAGGATAATTACTAATATCACTAGCGTAGAAAATCATAAAAAACACTAGCCATTGATAAGGTTTTCCACATTTGATTGTGTCTATTTGTTCCGAAATACGCAAAATCACTTACAATTTACGCAGTTCGTTGTATGATTCCACTAAAGTTTGCTCCGGAAACCAAAATTATTCAGATCTCAAAATGTGATCTGCTTAACATCATAAATGGTAATCAGCAAACCAAGTGAAAAAGAATAAAACTTTATTCTACTGATTATTTGAGACGAGTAGTTCCAGAGTACTCATATCAACTGGGAGTGCTCAACTGCTAACCATTTATAAGTGGACGAAACACAGGACTTCCGTTTCGTTCGGTTGGGTTCCTGCTCGTCAGCGGTGTATTCTTTTTAACTTAGATCAACGAGCCTAGTCAGTTCATGCCTTCCAATTTCCGCAACTGATAGTACCATGCATTTATGCTCGCTTTCTCGATTACCACTTTCGACATCAAGGAGATCACATATTTTGTGTGATATGAATAAGTTCGGTTGTCAGAGGAAACTGTCATAAAAATCTAACCTCAAAATGTATAAACTTCAAATTAATTTTTAAACTGAGAAGTAAACTTCCTTTATCGACGAAATCATCTTTAGGTGATGTGCAGACGTATTTATATTTACTTTGATCATATGTGACGAGAATGCCAACATTGAGATGATAACTAGGGAGTTCAACAGCTGCCATTATTCTATCGAGTTCACATCGCAATCAGAGATGAAGTCTGAATTTCATTTTTTGGATGATATGCTAAATAGGGAATATGACAGTCATCTTCAGAGATCAATCTACAGGAAACCAACTTCGAGTGGTCAATATATAAGTTTTCATAGGTGGGTCCTTTCGAGAAGAAAGAGTAGTCCGGTCCACTCTTTATGCCCAAGAATAAGAAGGATATTTTTGAGTGATACAGTCGATGGTGATTTGGAGAGACTCAAACTAGTCTTCGTGAAAAATGGATTTCCTTCAAGATCCATCGAGAAAAACATAAAAGTAAAGGAAAAACCCGAAAGAACCAAGACGTTGCTAAAAATTCTGCTATTCACAAACGCTGAATTTAAAGGTGATATCGCAGCTGATATTCTGGAAAACCACGGCTTCACCAGATCACTGAGAAAAGCCTTCTTTTCAGGTGAGCTGTGGATCACTTGTTACAACCGACAAATGATCAGTTGATGTGTGAATGATAAACTGTCTCTTTTAGGCACATCAATGTGTCTTTTTATAAATTCACCCGCTCCTGCGAAGCTAGTTATAATGGTCGCATAAGGTGTATAGTTTCAAAACGAAACTCTGAATATTCTCCAGCATTCGTAGGAAAAGAACAAAGCAAGACAGTTACCAGCTCAATTCTTGAGCACTTGGTGTCGTCTTTCAAAATTATCTACAAGGTGAGACCAAATGGTACAAAGGGTGTTAGCTTTCGGCATTTATGTATGACGGGGAAGTTTATAGTTCGTCAATATAACCCCGAACTCTATAAACGGAAAAGGTTTGTCCAGTCTACTGTGATCTTAACTTCATTAGTCGATCATTGTAATTTTTTATTTTTTAATTTCAATGATTACTTTGTTTTCACATTAATTGATTCACTATTATTACTTTCATATTTTCCTTTCTAACATTTTCTCACCCTATTCACACTTACTAAATAGACACTCAACTACCACCTTTCTTCTTACTCAGCCTTATCAAATCTAAAATGCTTTCTTTCTTTGTGCCATTATTGATTATTACGTAATTTACAACGTCTACTTTTACTTTTCAAGCCACTTCTAAGGAATTATATCAATTGTTTCACCATCGCTATCTTATTACTCACTAATGGACTACTACACATTTTTTGTAAATATAAATACGACTGTAGAGCCACTGAAGATGATTTCGTTGATAAAGAGAATTTTCTTCACCTAAATGTCTTTCACTTTCTTCATGACTAAGTGGGTATTTTAGGTGAAATTAAGAGGTGAGTTTATGGAATAACCAGTGCACTCAAGTAGCCTGCCATAAATCGGCTTGTGTGAACTGATTCAGCCCTCCAAGCCGAGTCAAACTGAGTACGACGCTGATAATCTTGGCAGTCGACTGACTGACAGAAAGCTGTTGATCTCAATCAATCAGCTATGTTAAATAAATTCCTAAATATCCTGTTCATTTAAATTCATTGGGAAAAGTTGATCGTTGTCATTTGAGGCACGTATCATTCATCATCTGGGTTACTTTCCTCTTTATTTTCAGATAACCTTCATTACCATTAATGCTCTGTGAAGTGTCAATGTTCAAGCCGTACTGTCTTGATATTCCAGAGACTGTTAAATTTGATATCGCATCGAAGAAATACTTCTGATTTTTACATTGAAAGAAAATAATCAAAGTCATAACTTGACAATTTTTATCATAATAACACTGTTGATAAATAAAACACTGAACTCGATAACAATTTGAGAACTTTTGTTTGTTTTCTAATATCTTCGTCATGATAACGCTAGAATCAGATAAAATCCATGAAACTTCCCAAACTATTGATTCTTTTGTGTTCTTGCTCTCCTCGAGTTGTTTGGTTTAGTCACACAACTTTCAGTTGACTCTGTCATTAACACTCTCGGTGTGACCTGTTCATCCATGGTGTGATAACTCAGGCCTATATTGGCATACCCCTTAACTTGGTTGTTATCTGAGTATCATACCTCTGTGATTTCACTGGTATTAAGAGAAAGCATTGTACCTAGGTTTCCTGCCAGTTACAACCCTCCTGTCGGCAAAGCGTGTCTGCATTCTGAAAGAAACTCAGATCTATCCTCTGAGATTCGAACTCATGACACCCAATGAGTACTGTATTCAGTCAGAGTCGTTAATAATGAGATATTGGAGCTCGCAACTGACCTCATGTTGGACTGTATTGGTTACTTTGATTGGACACCAGGTAGTAACTAGTGTCATGGCACAGTGCACGTTTGACTGATAGAATTCAGTCTGCACCGTAGATAGGACTAGAGACATTACACTAGTTACTGACTAGTGTTCAATCTAAGAATCCGCTGATACTAACAGTGATATCAAAATGAATCGAGAGGAGAAATCAGACAAAATAATTCTTTATTTTTAGCCTTTACTAGGACAGCACATTAGGAAAATTTATAAACTCATTCATACGGAAAGCAAATTTATATGCAGCATATACTCCATTCTATTAACAACTTTTAAGAAGTCAACGAAGAAAGCTGTACGCAAGTATAAGCTGCAAGTGAGATAAAATTCTACAGAGCGCTTATTCTGAAAAGAATAGGAGGCAAGCATCTTTTGAATGCAGAATTCAGAAAAATTGATATCCAGCAAAACTTTCCATAATACGTATTGTACCTTCACATCGACTGATAAACACAATCACATTTCGAAACCAATCCAATAATTCTTCTAGGATAAGTGAAGAACATCATCTGAGATACTGAGAGGATTTCCCTATAGCCCACTACATTTTAAACTTAGCTGTGAAAATGTTTTGTTAACTGAGAGTGAAGACTCTACAGCTAAGCTCCTAACACAAATAAGGCTATAATGTGACAACTGTCACCTGAATCACTACGCTTATCACCTACTTTGCTATTTCGTTCTAACCGAAAGCTAATTAACATTGTTATTCCCATTTTCAACATGTATTAAGCGACAAGTCTTGGGATTCGCTGTCCCAAGAGTTTATTACTTAATCAACTTATTCAAAATTAAAGGCGGATTCACTAACAAACTACATATTCTCCAATAGAAATTTTTTGCTACTGATCTTATAGATGTGATCTTATTTGTTGTAAACTGGACAAACCTCATTGAGAGCACATGTTTGAAGACAAAAATATTTTAGAGAGCAATAGCATCAAATAATTTATTATTTGAAGTGCCAATTTAACACCGAGTCTTTTCCTTTACTTCTGTGTTCTATCTCCCGTGTTAAGTGGTATAATAAGATGGATAATAGTGAGGTTAGTCATCGGTCTAATTCTAGGTAAGGAGGAGAAGTCAATCAACGAAGTTGTGAAGTTGGATCAACTGAGATGGTTAGGACATGTGTTACGTAGGCATTCCAAAGTATTGCCTTCTTCGACGGGCATTGTTAGCTGACATAGGATAAGATTGGAAAAGAGGTAGTAGTGGTTAAGCCAAAACATGACCTCATCAGTCAATGAAATCCATAACAGTTGGTTTAAGCTAGACAGCAAGCCACGTAGGTAGGTGTAGACAACCTGACTGGTTGGAGTCCTGGGAATGGTGAAAACCAAT